TCCCGACCCCATCATTTACTCCTTCGAATCTATTTTCTACTCTTTCGATTTCCGCTTTCGTCTTTGTTCCTCGAACGCACGGATGAGGGAAGAAGGAGGGGAAGGAACGAAAAGGGAAGAAGGGAAGGAACGAAACGGGAAGAAGGGAAGGAACGAAACGGGAAGAAGCTGCTGGATCCGTGTGGCCCAGCCTTCAGGAGAGAACGTTTCCATGCGATCAACTGGAGCATTTCGATGAAACAAACATATCATCTTCTCGTCTATCTGTTTGTCTCCACATTGTTTTCCCTTACCGATCATTCTTCCTCTCTCTTCTTTTGTCCACGAAGTCCAATGGGGAAGAAAAGCACAAGAGGCGGAAAAATCATCCCTTTTCGCTATCTCCTTCCCTCCCCTCCCCTTTTTTCCCTTCTCCCTCCTCCCCCGCTTCGTCGCCGCGAGACCTTTGAAGGCATTTCGCGGCCATGACATCACCTCACTCCAGGGCCATCCTGGACCTGTTAATTGATAATTTCGAGAGTGAAGGGATAATTGGTGATCGCCGTCACCCCTGGTACCTTGCATTCCGACGTGACGTGGCCAAGGCTAAGTCGTAACGATCGAAAGAAGCCGAATCGTTCCGTTCTCGATCCAGATTCGTTCGTGCCCACACACCTCATAACTATTTTTTCCTTCGGGTTTGAATTCATCCGGCATGAATCATCTCCGCCGTGTCCGGCTCGACGAAGAGATGGTTCTGGATTTCCATAACGAGGTGAAAAGAGCCCATGGACGGAATCCTTCGTGAGGTGCTCGAAGGCTTTCAGGCGCAGTTCGACCGTTAGACCGGGAAAACGCTCCGAGTATGTCGTAAAGGTTTTATGGTATGAATCGTATCGCAGAATGACTTTTCGTTCCGTAATTCTCGTGCTCGCTCGCGCATCGTATTAAAAATCTACATACTCTATATACTAATCTATGTGCTTAGCCAAAGCCTCGGACTCAACGAAGGTTCATCCGTTACAGTCCAGTATTTTCGAAGACCTACATGTGCGTCTCGAAGGGATTACCGCGTCCTCTTTCTTCTTACGGCCGAACGTGCGAAGAGAAACGACGGAACCGGTAAGTGATTTTCCAGTGAATGAGTAGGCGTTGGTGACGGGGACTCGGCCTCCCTGTGATGCGTTATGTGTCGGGGACTCGGCCTCCCCGTGATGCGTTAGGTGTCGGGGACTCGGCCTCCCGTGATGCGTGAGCCATCTGAGAGCGGAAGCACGCTTTAAGCACTTTTTGTAACCCTGCTTCGAGACCCATCTGGAACTTATCCATCCAATCTCACCTCGTCTATCGACTTTAAGTCCAAGGGCTAAGGCTCGAACACGAGACGTCGGTGCGTCGGAGTCCCCCGCGAATTCCTGCACTGTATCGTGCAGGGTATCGATTCCCTCGTGTATCCTGCTCCTAAAGGCGGAGTCTGTTTTGTTTCTTCTTTCCTCCAATGTTTTGAAGTGGCCCGCATTTCCGTACGTTACGAGCCGAGAGACGATCATCTGGGCTTTGATCATCTGGCCGTGTGTGCTTCATTTCAGAGGAGTCATTTAACACATCTTGCAGCGTGCCGACGCGTTAGGACTGTCATCTATATTTTGGTCATCGTTTTGGACCACCCTGTACGGTAGTACGCGACTCTCGAAACCCGAAAAAAATGGACCGACGGAGGTGATGCAGGGAGTGTCCCAGTTCGGAGTCGACGAGCCCACGAGTCGTGAGCGTGGAAACTTAAATGGGAAAGGGCTATTTTACACCGCGATGCTCATTACGAGGCGCTATAGTGCCTAATAAATTGCACTCCTCGCAGTCCCGCGAACGTGGATGTTTCACCTGTCTCATGCGCTTTTGTGCGTCTGCTGGTTTTTCTACCGAGAGGTCCTGAACTCGGAACGGGTCATGACTCCGGGCCGTGTTTCTTCGGCTTCCTCGACGGGATCCATGATTTAAGCACGAAGGCACTCCCTTCGCATCGTCGTGAAGAGAGAAAAAAAAGGAACGAAGAGGTAGTAATGGCACGAAATCCCGTTCTTTTATATTCACAAAGTGCATAAGAATCTCTTTACGAGTATGGTCGTCTTTTCTTAACTTTAATGGGTCGTAATTCAAGACGGGATGGGGTGAGATGTCCGCCTGTTACGAGCTCATTTGTTGGCTCCGTCTGCCATTCCAAGTCTTTTTTTGACACATTGTAACTTCAAGCTCTTACATGAGTTCTTTTACCCCTTTCCTCGTGACGTCTCTCTTCCTCTTCTCGTTCGATGTCTGATCTTTGTTTCACCTGCCGTTACCATAACTGTTCTCCGATCTCGTGGCTTCATTCCCTCTCTCGCGGCCTTTCACCGTCTTCGGAACTCATTATTTGGGAAAACATGCACGATTTCTTGTCGCGAGTGATCTTTCATCGTGTCTCAGGGATCGTCGTTGACTTTCTCTCCGTGTAAAATCGGCTCGATTTTCCCATTTTCTAATGCGAAAGGAAATTCCATCGAGGAGGAATCTTCCTGGGAGTGCGAAGGGATCGTGTTTCTTTGCTCACCCACGTGCGAGTTTATCGAAAGCTTTTTGGCTGCAGAGGCGGGAAGCCTTCTCTCCCTCGATGCCAATTTCTCCTCCTCCCCACCATCCATTTACGAGGGAGACGGGGGGGGAGAGGGCGAGGGGAAAAAAGAGGCGATGCATCGCTGAGGGGGTCCCCACCGTGCCGCGACCGTGTGGTGGCGCCATCTTTCAAGCCGTAGCTCGGGGGGGACCCAGGGGAGCGAGTACGCGATGGGGGAGGAGGAGCTGGTGGGCATGGCGAGTCTCCCTCATACCTCCACCGACGCTCATACCGGCAACAGCACCTCGTCTCGGCACGCCCTCGTTCCATGTGTCGCGACTCCTTACGATGATCTTCAGTCGCATCTCGTGATCGACATTATGAGCTAGAGTTGGTTTCTCGGGAGTGTCAGTGTGATCGAAAGACCCTTGGTGAACGGCGATAAAACATGGCAAGGACATCGTCATCCGTTTCGTGGATCTCGTTCTTCATCTGGATCTCTGCATTGGGTGAGCTTCTCATCTTTATAAGCATCGAGGAAAACCAGGCCCTTTGGGCAATAGGGCTAAGTGGCTCATCATCATCAGAAAAGCAGGGGTTAGCAAGACCCAAGTTGCAAGGGGAAAAGGGAGGGGGCAATTTGTGGAATTGTCGGTCGAGCCGGGAGGGAATATCATCTTCGAAACCAGAGGGTCGTGGAAGGTCGAGACTCGAGACCTCCGTATAAACCATCATCATCATGAATCTTGGATGGTCATTCATATCAGCCATTTTTGCCATCCATTCCTTCTTTCGCTTCATAGCAGACGATCACATGTGAATAGCTGTATGGAAAAAGAAAAGGGGGTGAACGAGGAGCGGACCTATAATTCCCCTGTGTACTTTCGTGAGGGAATTTTCACGCACGTAGGAGGAAGTGAAAGGCGAGATATATCCTGATTCGTGCCATATCCGTCTTCTTTCTTCGTCCTCCTGTGTGAGTCACGTATTTCTACTGGTGTAAGTGCCATGTTGCACGAAGATGAGAACACCGTGAATCATACAGGAGAGGATGAAAGTACGAGATAATTTCGGAGTATCCAACTGCCGGAAAAGGTGTGAGTATCATGATGCGATGTACTCCTTCCTGTAATATGTGGTGCCAGGTGGACATGACATGATACGAACATGAAACGGGCGTATGAGAATGAGAAAGCAAAGTTTGGCTTGGTCACGATCTATTTATTCGGGGGAAGGAGATCAAATTCCAATCAGTGACCTTCGCCCACACCAAGGAAGTGGGCCACGCCAAAATGGGTGGATCTTTCTCACGATATTCCCGTCAACTCCTTCTTTCTCTTGACTCACTGGAGAAGACGCCATCCCATGTATGTGGGTATGTAGAAGTGCAAGGTATGCAAAGCCTGACCCAGGAGTGAGGACTGACCTCTCCTGTCCCGATTACTGTGGCCCATCCGTGGCGACCGGATTTCCAGGGAAAAGTTATTTTTAGTTTCCCCCGCGGGGGGGTGGCTTCAGAGACGTTGACCCTGTTCAAGGTCACGGTAAATTTGCTGGTGCCATTTTTTCCCTTACCCCCTTGCTGCTTCCAACCGAGCGAGATGAAATCGGATTTGACGGGTGAGAAGCCTATCGCATTCAGCCTGGGACTAATCGGCTAAGAGTGCATAATTGCAAGCGTTCTCAGCCCTGGATCCATAATTATAGAGCCGTCCTTCATTCTGATATGGATCCTCGCGTGCACCCCCTCTCAGCGATCGATTTCTAACCTCATCTATTTTTTTTCATTTCAACTTCGATTGTAGAACGAACCAACCTTGAACCCTTGCCGTACTCATTTCCCCTCCATGGACTCCCCCCCCCCCCCTCCTTCTTTACCGTCAGTGGTTTCCCGAATGCCCTGGTGTTCCCACGAGGTTTTTCGCGAGATCCATCGAGAGAGGGGGGAGGGGAAAAAGGAAGTCGGGACTGTTGAGAAACAGGTAGAAGGGGAACGGAAGTGTCCAATTCTCGAGGGGTTTGAACCAGAACAAGCCACGAAGGTCATCCCTATGGCTACTAGGCCTCCCCAATATCCATGGCTCATTTTCTCATCCCCTCGACCTAGGCCATGTCGCTAATTCACAGATCCTTGCGAATTTCCCTCCGGGGCTTGTTAGCTCATGGAGCCATGACTTGACAATTCGCGTAGATATCCAGGGGTCTCCTCCTCCCCTTTTATGATGTCCCCCGTCAGCTGCCGCACATTGTTCCCTTCAAGGGGATCCGGTGTGCAATCGGCTGTTTTTTCTCTGAGGAGAAAGGTCCTTCGTGTCCTTTTTCTCTTGCGGCCTGTTCTTGCTCCACACGAACCTAATCACTTGCTGTAGACGAGAAAGAAGAAGGAAGCTCGTGGATTATTAGCATATTGTTGACGGAGAAACCCGGGGGGATGGAAGATGAGTCTAATTTCTTTCTTCAGCCTGGTTTCGATGAGCTCAGCATGATAGGTGTTTGGAGAGAGAAGTCCTTGGTGTGCGTGGCAGGTGGCAGAGGTATGCAAATGTGCGTGGACCGTGGATCCAGGAGACCCGAGGGAGATATCCCCTCGGGGCCAAAGATGAGATTCCTTTCCTCGATTGACAGCGACCAATTTCAAAAGCCCACCTCCAGTGCTAGGATTCCCTTCCATTCTCCTCGTATCATGACCCCAAGTTCCTCTCACACGAGAAGTGAAGGAAAAAGAAAATACATGACAGCAGGTCGTCTATCAAACAAGCACGCGTGCCCTGGTATTGTTTTGAGTGATTGTTTTCGCGTCGTCCTGCAACCGATGGTTATGAATTTTTCCTAAAGCTCGATCACTTCTTGAGAGCCTGGAGAGAGGTCCACGCTGTTATTATGTGATATTTCATGGCTGACATATCCTTGTGGAATGCGCCCCATCTCCGCCCCATCCCGAATCGGAAGCCCAACAAGATAAGATGCCTGGCTCCTTAGTTCCCTTCGTTGTTTGTACCTATAGCCTATAGGTGAGGCATTTGGAGATGTTCCACATGAAGCAGGCTCCAAGGCCGACCGGTAGATCCTGCATGTAAAGAAGTATCTTTAAAGCGCTAAATTGCATCCAAAGGCTCCACGTGCACACGCTTGGATCCAAGGTCTCCATCCTTCAACGAGACTCATCTGCTAGGCATCCTGCTGCCTCGTCCCGGCGGTCCCGTTGCATGAATGATAGGCAATACCAGTACGAAAATTCGGAATTTGAGTGCAAGGACGTGTCATGGCGTGACACGAGGCAAGCATTTTCCAAAGTGGATTCCTTCGAGGCCGATTTCGTGACTCCCCACAATCCACTCCTCGTCTTCTTTGTTCCTCTGTGTAACCTTGGCCATGAAACTTCCACGTTCCTCGCTTCCATATTTCTACCGGTAGCCCACACGGACAGGTCCAATGCCTCTAGCATGAGTCGCTCCGCCTGGTCCTATATTCTCAAATGATGAGATGTGTCAGATAAGGTAAGGTACGGCTTACGGAGTTGTGATGCGTTGAAGGAAAGAAGATTATAGGGGGAAGTTCCTGGAGGGGATATTGGATGGGACACACCTTGACTCGTCCCAATACTGGCATTATCACGAGATGCATCCTCAGCATACGTGCGTTCAAGTCTCCCGGTTTTTCTGCTGATGTCACGGAAAGGAAAAACCTCGCAAAAAAAAAATCTTCCAGTCCATGTGGAGTCGAAGAGGAAGATAAATGATGAATGACAAGGTCCCTGTAGAAGTCTACTAGAGGGGAAGAGGTTCTGCAGTAACTACATGAAGCATGCACGATCGTCGGGGGCAGCATCGGGGACCATTGTATGCTAAGCTTCCTTACTGTGCACTTGATACATTGTCCTTTGTGTGTTTCCCTGACTCACGGATTCTCCTTACTGCTCAGTCGGTAGTCCCCCCATGGCGCCCATACTCAACCCCATTCTCATCATGATCTCATAGCCTCATAGTCTTGTCATACAACATAGAAGACACGCCCATCTGGAGTGATGAGCGCGTGCCCCCATGAGCTCTCATACCAGTGGCCTACATACGGGATGAACCATTTCCATGCCCTCTATTTTGAAATATGGAAATGATGTATCTTCTGCTGTGGTGAGTGTTTGTATCGGAATGACCGCAGAAAGAGAAGGGAAGAGATGCAACGGCAACGCGGAAGGGGCAAAAGAATCTGTATTGCATACGTTGACCCCGGAGGTCCCTCATGTAAATATTTATGCCGGCGACCTTTTCCTCTCGACCTCTCTCTCCTCTCACTATATGATTGGCATTGTCATGGTGGATATATCCGTGGTTAAGTGTATGCATCCATCCCCCGATGGCGGCCGTATCTTCTTCTGTCTATGGCGCCGTCAACTTCAACTCTTTGCCTTCCAGCCATGATTCTCTTCACCCATAAAAATGTTCCGTTACTTGCATGGTTCAATTACAAGGCGCTGTCAGATTTATCTTCCCTCTCCACTTCCTTTTCCTTCTCTCCCTCCCTCCATCCCCGTGAAACCTCTGCGGTAACCAAGAAGGGAGGAAACCACTCTTTGGAGTCGATAGGCAATATGCGACTTTCACTCATTCGCAACAGATGAACTGACATCTCAGAGGGACTCGCCCATTCTTTCATTTCTCCGTTCTGGTGAAAGATCATACACTGATAACATCCCTGGGGTGGTTGACTTTTTCGTTTCCGACAGGTGAAACCTAGCCCAGCCCTGCCTACAAAAATATGATCAGCGTTTGAAGCTGAGGGGAATTCCCCCCCTTTTCCGGGACAGGTGCATTCAAGGCTGCATGCAGCATGGGGGGGAGAAGAAATTGATCCCGGCTCGAGGCCTATTGCTTTTCCTCGCCTTCTCATTTCTCCCTAATTGAGTCCATTGTTTGGCGTAGACACGAGTATTGCGTGAGTCGGCCTCGTCTCTGAAAATCCCATGCCTTCATGCATGCAATAATTATCCAGGCGTTAATTATCCTCGGGCAAAGACAAGTCCCCTCATACAGGTATAATTACCCTCAGCCTTGATCGGGTGTCTCTCGTTGCACAAAGACCGCCGGTGTAATCGATATATTCAGGATCAGGACAGGTGTTCTTGAGAGTGGATTTTGTTGAAGTCGGTTTTACAGAGATAGGGGAGGGAAAAAAAAAACAGGAGAGGAATGTAGGTAGAGAGATATACAGAGATGGTGGAGGTAGGGTTGTCCTTGGAGGGGGGTGTTGGGACCCCTTAGGGTGACCATTAATCCCAGTCCCAGGTAGGAGGTATTGGCCGGAGAGGTCGGGTGTCAATTATGTTTCTCGGTGACTTATTGCTTTCTCTACGAGACTACAACCATCATGATGATGCACGTGGATACCCCAGGAGAGAAGGGGGGGGGGGGGGGGTGTAAGAGGCCATTGCTCATGCAAATGTATCGAATCGGATCGGATGAAAAGGGAGCCTGCCTGTTTGGCACGAGTCCGGTGACCCGAAATGAGAAAGGAGGTGTGAAGTGTTCCCACACGAAAGCGATCATGCAATGAGAGCTCCATTGTCCCTAACCCTAACCAGGATCTGCTTGAATGCACCTTTTCCTCGCCTCCCAGAATGACTTGCCTTCTCTTCTCTTCCATGACACCGTTAAGTCAACAAGGGATCAGGGGCTTCCGATATTTGGATAGCCCGGCGACCCCGATGGATTTTTGTCGCTTCGATGCCCCTCAATGTGGATCACGCCACAGACATTGCATATCTGTAATTTTCCACCAAGGTCGGATCTATCTACCAACTAGACCGTACCTTCGTTTTCTCGTCGGGTCTTTTGTCGTCCCGATCCCTCTGTATGCTCACGGGAGGTGAGGAATTCGTGACCAAAGCAGTAGACGTTTTTTTGGGCATGAGAACGAGACAAATAAATGCAGCAAGGACGGCAAGGAAGAGTGAAAAAGCCTAGTCAGACCATATGGGTATGTGTCAATACGGTGAAATGCAAGTACCGAGGGTATTATGACAAAAGAATTACGTCCTGGCGTGAAGAATGATTTTCCGTGGAGTCAGAAACTCGGAATCTCTCTCTCCTCACATGACTGAGCCCCGAGGTCTTGAAAGAGAATCTAATTGCATTCCCTTGCGGGGCCTCGGTCTCTTGATTACATATCCCCGGATGAGGAGATGGAATTTGTCTTTTCCCTCGGACCCCCGCTGTCCTCTAGTGACTAGTCTATAGTATTTTCCACGGTCCCCCTAATCACCGTGATCAACCTCACGGGCTTCTTATTCTGTTATTATCGAAATGGCCCCGGCTTGAAAGCATCACTCGACACTGTCTGCACTGACTGTCACCACATGTCTCTCCTCAGTTGGGCCAACAACATTCTTTCTCTCCAAAAATATTCCTCATTTACATGCAGAGAGGGTGTGATGGGTGGGGAAGAAAGACTTTGTTTTCATAGGGACCGTCAGAGGGAAGCCCCCCATCAAGTTTTGCCTCCCAGAGTGTCTCTTCCCTTTATTTTAACACTGACAGTGCGAAAAACTCATCGCGAGGAGCTCTGGAAGAATAAAGAAAATAAGAAAGAAGAAGAAAAACGCAGCCCCTATCCCTTGCCGTGCCCCCCTAGGAAGCAATGCTAAATGAGTTCCCAGGGGTTCGGCCTGATTGATTATTGTAGGCACCAAGGACCCTGGATCTGACAAAAGAGGCCCCTCGTCCGAAATGGGTCTTCCTCTCACAAAAGATGTGTCCAAACACCAATCAGTGACTCGGCCCATTCCCCCTCTCTCTCCCCCCCCCCCCCCCCCCCCTCCGTTTCCCAACACTTACAGCTCCAACTACCTTTTTGAGGAGAGAGAAAAAATCTTTCCATCCTTGCTGTCTGTCCCGGTTCCTCGTTGTGGTTCACAGAGAGGTCAGAAGAGAAGAACGGTATGGGCTAGGGCTTTTGCGGCGAAGTGACGGGTCATCCGTCATAGGAGATTTTTGTCCCCGGCCGTGTAAAGCTAATTGTTGAGGAAGTCGTTTTGTGGCCTCTTCTTCGCTCCATGAATTATGTATACGTATCCCATCCCTCTCCCGGCTAGAAACTTCTCTGTCTGTCACGTGAACTCACCAGCCTCAGGAGCCGGGGTCAGAAACCCTCTGCCGACGAGAAGCTGTTAAAGGCATCATAGAGTGTCGTCAGCTGTTGGAAAACGAGATCTCCGGTGGTGGTCCATGGTCTTTTTGAAATGGACACCTTGAAGCAGCTGGTCACTCACTCATTTACTTCATTTTTTTCCCCCTTCCTCCAGATGCTTTCTCGTTCCGTGATTTGAACCACCTGGTTTTTTTTTTTCTATCTACATCCACGCCCAGGTACCACGGATCATTTGAGAACAGCCTTGCTTGGATAATATATTCTGGAGAGGGAGTCTAAGTCTTTGTTATTCCCCCCCCCCCCCCCCCCCCCCCCTCCTTCNCTCGTTTCTTTAGGATGAGAATTTCATTCCCCTTTTTTTTTTTTTCCCCCCCCCCCCCCCCTCCTGTAATTATGATTAAGGAGAGAGAGAGAGGAGGGAAGAAGAAAAGAAAGGACGTGAGGCGTCATTTGACACGAACGTCGCCGTCAAAATGTGTCGACCGAACAATGCACTCCTTGCAAGGGTTGTTTTCCCCTCACCTGTCACGTTTCCCCCCTTCCCCCGTGAAGCTTGTTTTTTTTCTAGTTACTACCCCACAGTGAATTTGTAGAACTAATTATATCCCCCTGGGAGCACAGGTCGGGGAGAGGGGCAATGATATGCTGGCCACGCGTTGAGGGTGGATTTATTTATCTCTCTTTAACGTTGGCTATCTTTTTGGTTCGCAGGGCGAGCGTGCGGAGAGGAGATGGCAGACGTGGTGGAAGGAGAAGAGGCTCATTTGTCATGTCGGTTCAGCCCGGTTCTGTCTTCGAAGGAGCCGGAATTCTTTTGGACTCGCACCGGACCGAGTGGGGAAAAGGACATGGTCGCCATCAGATCCGTCCCGCTTGCCACACACTATCGGTACATTCGCTCGTTGCTTTCCTTTGCGCTTTCTGAATCCATTCGGTTCTGGTTTCCGTGAAAGTCTTGTAAATTCCTCCGAATCGTTACGTCATGGTCTAGTTTGAATTGCTCACGACCCGGAGAGGAAAGATCGATGACAAGTTGGATTTCTCGGAAGGAAAGTCACGACCGTCTGACCGGCGGCTTTTTTCCCCATAGACATCGATTTTCCATTACGATCTATATCCGAGTAATGGCACGTGGAAGAGGATGTCGGACAACGAGTCTTGATTACCGATCGGCGATAAAGTTCCCCGGCGTTCGGTTCGTTACGTTGGGAGATGCAGTAACGGGAACTCCGTCGATCGTGTAATTCGTTGCATTGATTGTATGCAAAGCGATGGAGGACGTGGGCCGCCTCACGATCATTCTACTCACCCTTGATCCTAATGGACAATCCTCATTATCCCATCTATTGGGTGACTGTGGGAGGAAGAAGGCCGTTAGAAAATGAAATATGGCTCGGAATCGTCGTAATTGAAGAGCGTGGGATAAACATTGGATTTCCACGTCCAAATTTGACCTCATTTCGCGAAATTTATGAGGTAAATCATTCCCATTCGACGGAAAGGGTAAACTCTTCGTTCTCTCTCCCTTACATTTACTTATACTCGTAGTGTCTTCTTCGGGATCGGTGTCATCGAAAGCATGGCAACAGATGCGGGAACGAAAAGAGCAAGAAATGCGGAGTCATAGGCCCTCTCCAGATGCAAACGAGAGGATGATACCCTGTTTCCTTAACGGGACCAGAAAGAGTGGCTTCTTTCATTCCAGCACCGTCGTTATCGTAGCCGAAATCCGTGAACGTCTCGAGACACCGTGACGAGGCTTGCTACGCGCTCACTTATCCTTAGATAAGGCAGTATAAAATCCAGGAGCAGAAAGATGCGAAAGATAGGATCCTGTGCCTTCCGCGACTCCCTGTGGTCACTGGTATGGCACGAGGAATGAAAAAAAAAGTCGCCGTTGCGAGATGGGCCTGGAGAATGGCCAAAGGAAATAAGATAGCGTGTCCGTTCGTTGACCTACCTAGGCCTAGACTGGAGAGAAATTACCATCCGTCGCCAGAAGCCATCGATATCTCTCTTCCTCCATTCTGATAGTGATCAATTTGTTAGCGCTACTAAATTGTTTTAGTCCTCGCTCTGCTACCGGTCCTAATCATTACCGACGGGAAGGTGATTGAGTAATGAGCTTAGTCGGCACAAATTCATCCTCCCTCGAGAAACATTCGGCGGCCTTGGGGATCTCTCTCTCTTTCTCTCTTTCGGCTCTTCCAGTTTTCATCATTTATAGTCCGTGAAGAGGCAGTAAAAAAACGCTCTTTAGTCTGTATGGGGCATTGAAGCGTGGAAACGTGAGATGCACCTCGATCCTCTTCTCCTGCCTGATCTGAACGAGGCCGTACTTTGAAGTAGATCGTGAGAGCCGTGAAGGAGAGAGAGGAGAAGTATTAGCGCAATAGATGAGTGATCAAGCATCCCATGTTAGCGATCTCTCCCTCTCTTTTCGCCGTTGATACTCCCGAATGCAGTTGGTCTGGCGGACGATAGAGTTCGTCTTTTGATCTGTCCGAGGAATGAAAAAAAAAAGCCATGGATCCATCTCCATCCTCTGGTCGCATTCCGACATGGTAAAGCAATGCAGAAACACGGGATATTTCGTCGGATATGTCCCGTATCGATCAAAGAGGGTATTCTACCTTGTCAGGAATGGTGGCTTGAACAAAAAAAAGAAAAGCATCCCCATTTCGTGTGGCTATCGAGGCCTTTGTACTGAAATCCCCAAACGCGAGTCTCACACGGCATTCTAATATTACAGTATTTCCATTTATCGCAATTTCACGTTATTATTATCAATTGGTCACTCTCATCGATGCGGTACGATTTTCCCCACAAGAGTCGAAATTCCGAATGTCCCCGAGAACACGTACTGACGTGAGTAGCCATGATGAGCAAAATTTTCGATCCATTGCTGTGGAATGGATTCGGAACTAACATGAGATATGCTCTCCGGATGGAAATGGATGTTCGAGGTGACCTCCTCCTGCCTCGACATGTGCGGCTAACTCGGGGTATCTCCCTGCTTAGTTGTTCTCCTCGTGCTTACGGAGATATCGGATCCGACATCGGTAGACCTTAGTTTTTCCAGAATCGTACACCATATATGGCAGAGGTCGGGAACCTATGGCTCACGAGCCGAAAAGTTTGGCTCATTGAGTCATGGCTGTCGATCATGGTTGTTTCTCATTTTTCCCATGGAACTGAGAATGCATATTTCTGCTGCAAACTTCTGGAAAAATTATGTTTTTCTGAACACCTTTCGCTCACAAGCACTTAGCTCAATCTAAATATGGCTCACATGGCCGAAAAGGTTCCCGACCCCTGATATATGGTCTTTTACTGGATGCTTGATCGGGCCATTGTGGACAATGAAACCTGCAAGCAGAGCTCAGTGTGTTAGGGGAACGAAGAGAAAGCGCACCGTTTTCCTCAAAATTGAGCCGCGTAGGTTCGTGGAGCAAGCGCTTGTTTGTTAGTCGCGAATGGAGAAAAAAATGATAAGGCACACGAAAAACAGGGTGACGTCGGTTTTTAAGCTACCGTATATCATCATCGAAGAGCAAACGATACGTTGTGCGTCTCGGTATATGAGGGATCTCCCCCTGTTTTTTTCTTCCAGGATCGACTTCATTCCCTCGGAGGGGAAGTACGACCTGTTCATCAAAGGAGCGACGTACGAGAGAGACAATGGGAGATTCGAATGCATGGTGAAAGAAGGTGGAACGGGGCGCGATTTCTACAATAAGGCATATTATTTGACGGTGTTACTCCCACCGGGTCCACCCGTAGTGACACCCGGAGGTGAACCCTTGGGGATCGAAGGGAAAGAGATGAAGCTCTCCTGCTCGAGCCTCGGAGGAAGCCCCGACCCCCAAGTCACGTAAGGCTCTCCTCCTATCTTCATCCACCCATCCATTCCACTTTTTTCCCTCTCTTTTCTCTTCAAGTAATGAGGGGTCATCATGGAATGACACGGGACCTCAGACAACAGACTGATAAAGACGTAGTGGCAGCCCGGCCCAGGCCTTGACTTTTTTTTCTGCTCCTCTTCGGTCTTCTTCCAAATAGCAATTAGGGGCAGGAAAATCATTTGATTGCTGCGTGCTTTCATTCCGTCCACGTATTTGTACAAACATAGACTTGATGTCGATAGGGCCTCGCCCAGCTCCCTTGCTTACAGTCCCTAGTTGTCTATTCATGATGGAAAGGCTCTCCTTCATCTCCCATCTCCCTCGGAGGATGAAATTCCGGGTAGGAGACGAGTGTGCATGAATGCATAATAAGAAAATGATGACGGTGCCATGGGTGATGGGTGTAAGGTGTAAAGGGGGAATTCAGAGGGAGGGTGAGGGTCCACTTCACCTTGCCCTAGCCCTCTGCCCCTTTACAATCATTTCCATCCATCCACCGTTATTCCTTACGATGACGCCCCTCCCTTCTCCCGATGCAGATGGCAAGGAATGAAGGGATGAAAAAAAATGCTTATTTTTTTCCCTCCCTTCTCTTACCTTACTTGTTGCATGGAGAAGTAGCACGGCGGTGCAAAGTGGATCTTTGCTTCCAGAGCATGTTTTCTTTCCCCTATTTTGCTGCGGATATATTGGAGTGTTTGACGTCTCCATGGCAGGGTTTGTTTATTCAACTGCATGACGATGCAGGAAATCCCTCATTAAAGGCCTATGCGATCCTAAAACCAAGTGGGTCTCATCAGACTTGCTGGATGTGATGTTTGCTATCCTTCCATATGGCCATTTCCGTTTCTTCGCCTTCTACCCTTTCTTTTTTTTCCCCGTCTGCTTCCTTTCTTGTGCCTCCCTTGTGGGCTCGAAATGTGCGAAAAGCCGTAAAGTTCGGCGCCGTCAGGGCCCATAAAAGGCAGGCAGCACTGTCAATTCGGCACAAAATGCCTTTGTGTTGTATAACCTCTTCGCTCATTAAACAAAAGCATCACAAAAACCTTTTCTTCCCTTCAACGACGCAATCAAATTATGGTAGGGGAGGAGAAGAGAAAGAAATGAAAAAAAGAGAGGAGGCTTTCTTCTTTCCCCCCTGTCGGTCTGTCTTGAGTAATAAAACGCAGCTCTGCAGGTATATATTTATATGGGGAAGCACGAGAGAGCCCCTACTGGTATTTCTGATGAGAGATATACAGCCGGCGGAATGAAGCCATGCTTACTGACATTTATACTCGGATCGTGATTAATTTGTGGATAGATGGTATCGAGTGGGAGAAGATTCAAGTCTGGCATCCGTGGTGACACCGGGAGGAAGGAAAGACCAAGCTACGACGGCGGTTTTAACTATTAATCCTCGACGAGAAGATGACGGCGCTGAATTCCGGTGTGTCGTCTGGAATCGAGCTCTTCCTCAAAAATCCCTTGAAACAACCGTCAGACTCAGAGTCCATTGTAAGTCCACTTACACCATGGTATGGTTTTCCGACTCCCCCCTTAATGACTGGTTACCGTTAACGTTAAGGAAACGCCCCCCGGCATCCTTGTGACCCTTTCAAGAAGGAAAATTTACTCCGACAGTTATATCTGTGGAAAAACGCGGATTTAATTTATGTGCAAGTGTTGATGTTTTTCAGACTTTCCCCGGGTGACTGTGGGGCCGGCGAACCCCGTCCGAGTGGAAGAAGGGGGTTCGGTGAGACTCAGTTGCAGTGTGGATTCAAAACCCCCTGCCACCAGAGTGAGATGGCTTCAAAACGGTCGAGTTCTTGGCCAGGGATTAGTGCACACGTTGGAGAAGGTCCAGCTAGAAGATGCAGGCACTTACACGTGTCAGGCCTACAACGGTCTGGAGTCGACGGGAGAAGGGGATGTGCTCGTGGATGTCCTCTACGGCCCGATCGTGAGCCTCCCAAAACGACGAGAGGTCCAACCGGGCCAAGGGATCACCGTTCAATGTCTCGTGGACAGCAATCCTCTGCCCTCGTCGATCGAATGGCTCAAGGAAGGGGATCCGGAGTTCAGACAAAGAGGCGCCGAACTCGTCCTTCCCGTCGTCACGGCGGAGGATGTGGGAACATACACGTGTCGAGCCCTCGTCTCCTTCGCGGTGGATTCCCCAAAAAGGAAAGAGATCGAACGAGAAGGGAACGGCAGTGTGTTGATCTTGGTCAATCACCGACCGGGTCGAGCCACGATTCGATCGGAACCCGAGTTCCCTGTAGCCGGGGAACCTGTGACCCTTGTGTGCGACCCGAATCCACCGGGATGGCCCGAACCGGTCATCGTGTGGTGGAAAGACGATGGCAATCCCGAGAATCCCATTTCCAATGGTGGAAACTTCACTCTCCCGGGTCCTGTGTTGGGGGGCGAAGGGGAAGGGGTGTATCATTGCTTGGGAAGGAATAGCTTGGGTGAAGGAACCCCAGCTTCATATGCATTGGATCTGGGACAGAAACCCCGCATATCCAGCCCCTTGCCCCCGCAGGTCGTGAAGGGCACAGATTCTCCACGATTCTCCCTCAATTGCTCCGCCACCGTAAGATGCTTTACTTCATCCCATTTCATTTAGTATTTTATACTCTTTCTGAGTTGTCTCTAGAGTCACTGTGTAATTTTCCCGAACAGGGAAAGCCGGAACCGGAGGGGGTGTGGTTGAAGGGAGGGGAAGAGATCCCGTCGGGGAGTCCTTTGTACGGCATCCGTGAGGAAGCCGTGGAAGGGCGATTTGGGGTGTGGACGGTGAAGAGCGAATTGGTGTTTTATGGACGCGACCGGTCGGGCGACCAAGATCGTCTCTCCCCCTCCGATCGAGGGTCCTATACTTGCCTCTTCCGTAACCAGGTCGGATCTGACAAGTCCTACACCCTCCTCCGCATCCAACGTAAGTCGTTTCATCCTCACTACCTCCAATTAAAACGACACGTCTTGTCGCGTGGGTTCCATTAATGGGCTACTTGATGACAACATGACAGCATGTCACATCCCATACATACAAAATGATGGCCATCGACCCTGCCGTGTCCGATTCCCCTCGATCAGGAATCCTCTTGATGGAGCCCTCAGATAGACAGTCGTGGGATGCGACAGGTCCTCACAACTTCCCATGAAGTACAGGGTGGCCCAAAAGAAAGAATCTCATTGTACGGATTTTATTAACCTCTCAGGCCTCCCCCCCCCCATACACACACTCAAACATATATGTGTGTGTGTGATTAAATTCCAATATAAACGTTCTTTACGAATCTCAAAACCAAGACAACACACTGCATTTGCAGAGGCTTAATGTCATCTAACGTGTTCGAAAATAGTAATTTTCAGCACAACATTCTGTACATGATGCGGATATGTTCAATCATGTCTTTCGCATCGAATTTGATTTTCCCCAGGAATACCGACAATTGAGTGAACCGGCATCGGAGTATATTAACTGAGAACTATGTTGAGATTAACGGTGATATGATTCAGCACACAACAGAGCTCTAGGGATGATTCCTTCATTCCCTTCATTCCAGTCATACATTCCGGGAGCTGTTCAATGAGCAAACGAATTGTGATTCCACAAGACGTGGCATAGTCTTCATTCTCTGAATCCGAATGAATGAGTGTTTCCCAGAAATCACTCTGTAATGGCTTTCATCATACCAGGAAATAAGAAAGTCTGCTCTTCGGTGAAAGGAGTTGTAGTTCTTGAGATTTTCTATGCACTAGGTTCAGGAAAATTCGGGTGCATCATGAATATGGCATTAGTTGGCTCCAGGCTCTAGGAAAAAGGCGTATCTTTTTGAATTTAGGATGCATGTATCCATGATGACTCATGTATTTAACCCTAATAATATCCGACGAAAAACTATGCCCAGTAGGTTAGAAATCCTGTTGTAAAGTTCACCGCTTGAGTGGTTGATCATATATTACAGGTGTTCAAAATGACCGCCGACATCAATTGAATAATGGTGACGGGCAGAAACCGAATGACACGTTTTTGCACACATCCTGCCCAATTAGGTGCCATTCCCCCTAATGAAAAGAATCTAAATTATTTGACTCGTGCTTTCTGGTCGCCCTGTATCTCATGAGCATTAGGCGAGCCTGTATGCATCCGGACACAATCGGAACTCGCATTCCATTCCATTTCTGCTTCACATTCGCAGGTTTTTTTTAACATTGTACGAAGAGAAACACCCACGCACACGAGTAAAAACCTGTTGCAATAATCCTATATTTCGATCATTGCCCTGCATGGAATGACGAATGCATTCTTGGTTACATACCCATCTTAGCATTGCTTGACTCCTTTCTTGATAAAAGCGAGACATGGATTTCTTTCTCGAATACTAACCTCGACTGGGGTTTGAGCTCTCCGCTTCCTGTTTGCTTGTGGGAGAGTCACGGTTTCCCCGTAACGGGCGGCTGAATTCACTAGGGAATTCGTGAGGCCATAATGGTCATGATTCCATCCTACTGGAGACTATGGTATCCTCCCGCCCCTCCGTGGAAAAAAAAATCCCGCGGTGATGATGATGTCATGTCACACATCCACACGGGCATCATGATGGGGTTAATGTACTCTTATAATTCACATTGAATATTCTCCCGGGATGGTACTAGTCGGTAGGGGATGACCCGACGAGGTCCATTATTTTTCCTCCCTTCAGCGCCAGGATGGCTGGGGCCCCGAGACAGAAACACTGTAATTATCCCTCTTGCATCAGCATTAGCCGTAGAATATTCCTGGATTTCCTTCACGCCCTTCCGCCTGCGTCAGATGAGATGCGGAACCAAGGAAAAAGGAGAGGATGAAAGCATATTGTTGTGCGGACGGTGACACATCATGATCTGCGATTGTCCACATCCTCTTCAATGGAACCCTAATAACGAATGGAGGAGTGAAAGTCTCTCCATCGTGGGAACAACAAACAAAAGACCAGATACAGAGAGAGAGAGAGAAAAAAACAAATCGGTCATATATAGTCACAAAAAAGGAAGAAAGATGTGTGTGTGTGTGTGTGTGTGTGTGTTTGTCTTTGATGGGAAGATGTCGTGCAAGGGGCAGATGATCATCCCAGGAATAACAATTAGGTCTCATCCTAAGCGCGGCCCTGCCCCTCGCCCCCGGGCTGTGCGGACCTCTTCTCTTTTAACAAATTATTACATACGACTACGAGGGTATCCTACTCACGACCATGGGAAAAAGGAATGAGAAAAAAAGATCGGAGGAAGTATATTTGCATATTGGTCGGGTCTCTCCTGCTTGAGCTAACGGTTCGTGTCTTTCTCTTCTTACCTATCCCGACGCGGAAAGGAACAGAACAGTACCTGTGATTTACCGTTTCCTCGCTTCCCTTCACTTCACGGCCTTATACAGTCGAGAGAGGAGGAAAAGAAAAAAAAAACAGGCATTGAGGGGACTTGTTGCATGCCGGCTGAGGATGAGTGGAGTGTGAAGTAGTTCTTGGATTCCATCTATCATTTATCAAAAGGGGGCTTTTTCAAAAGAGAGTTGAAGAGCCGGAAAATGGTCGAGGCATTCAAAACGAGAGAGACTAATAATGGATGATCCTTGGTGTATCTATCCCCTGTCGACGATTAATGATGGCTTCGGTAACGGTTTCACTTCGACACGAAATAAATTAACGAAGCGGAGAGACACGCCCGATATGATGAGCGAAAAGAGGAAGTCCTCCCTCCTTCAGCCTTTTCTTTACCCGGCTATATAGCAAGGCTCGTGACACACCGACCGCGAGATGAATAGAGAATGAAAAAAAAATGTAGCACGCGTTTCACTTGAAGTGGGTCAACGAGGTGACTACTCTTCCTCCATGCTCCCGTTCCTTGCCGTTCGCATTCAAAGGGACTTCATTTTCTTTTTCCACTCCGTGATGCAATCCTGTATCTGTAAAGGGAGGCTTCCAGCCGATATGAAGACGATGGATTGGATATTGCCACGGGGCTAATGGTGAGAGTCAGTCAAAGCATCAATCGAAGGGGGAAAAAACGATGCCTAATCATGGGAAAATAGTGTCGCATTCATGAGAAGCCCATCCATCACGTTGCGACATCCCCTCTGGGGCTATTCCGCTCTTTCTCTCCCTCCAGTCAGTCGAAGAAAGAAGAGAATATTTTTTGTCATTCCTAGATGCGCCATTGGATGAAGGGACGGGGAAGAAGGTGGCGGGGACCGTTGGATCGTCTGCCGTCTTACAATGTCGAGTCCGCTCGTTCCCACAACCCACATTCTCCTGGTCGTTCCAAGATAACCCATTGGTTGCCATGGCCGGCTCGAAGTACGAGAGCAACAGCAGCAACCTCGAAGGAGATGTCCACGTGGGGATGTTTCACATTCAGAGCATCACTCCAGGGGATTACGGTCTTTATACGTGCCACGTCCAGAACAGTTTGGGTGGGATACGACTGGAGATTCGTCTCCAGGGTCACAGCTCACCTGACCCACCCGAACCACCTGTGCCTGTCTCCACCGGCCCCACTTGGATCCTCTTGGAATGGGAACCTGGTTTCGACGGTGGGCTTTCCGATTCCCTCGGATTCATGGTTTCCGCCGATCCCCAGGACGATCCTCGCGCGGAAAGGAAGGAGTTCGATTGTCAGAATCACAATCCCTGCAATATCACCAATCTTCGACATCAGACAGCCTACCTCTTTCGGGTACTTTTTCTTCGAGAGCTTTATTCTCTCCATGTCACAAGAAGAATGTAATGAAAATCTTTTTTTTCCTATTCCCGATTGTAAAAAAGGTAAGGGCGTTCAACGCGAAAGGAGAGAGCGAATTCTCGGCTTCGTCCAGACTGTCGACGGAATTGAATTTCGAGGAGATACCAAGCCCCGTGGATGTTGTTTATGGGAAGAACATTAAGACGCTGGCATTCAGCTTCTTGAGTTCCCCTTTCGACCTGGAGGCGGTGGTGGAGACCAAGTCCGGATCTGGATGGGAGGTCTACGACCGAATACCCCTGGATAGAACAACCCGGTCCCGCCAACACGATTTGGTCATGGATCTGGAAGGCAAGGATCCGTCCGTCCGTGTCAGTCTCTGTCTTCAGGGCAACCAGACTATCTGCGGACGACCTACCGTCGCTGAAATCGGTCAGTTCCAGAATCAATTACCTTTTATTTCGCACAATCGAGAGAATTGTGTGATGAGAACAACCAGAATTTTTTTATTACCTTCTTTCAGAGGCGGAGATGCCGGTACACATGTTGGTGAGTAAGGGATTCCCTAAGGAGTTGCAGGTGACAATCGGAGTGTGCGCCCTCGCCTTCCTTGCTGCCATCCTCATCGTCATCTGCATACTGCGTCGCAAGGTCAACGGATCCAAGGGCTCTGGCAAGGACTACGAACTCGAGAACTCACAGTGAGTCCCTTTCACCTGTCTGCCTTCAAGAAGCGAAGGAAACCTCCCCATGTTATCACACTAGTTGTCCAACAACAAAAAAAGGAATTGTAGACATTTAAGTTTTTGGTTATATATGGTAAAATTGCTGAATTTTTTGTGAAGTTCGTAGTCCGGGGAATTTTTCTAATAAAATCTGAATTTGCTATCTGGCCTGCAGGAGATGAGAATGGGAAACCTCCAACGCCCCCTGTTTTGACCTAATCCGTATCCCTCTATTAACTGTACATACATATATTCTCTTCCCACGCTGGCATTGATAGAAGGCGGAACTCATTGGATTTCTTTCCCTTTGCTTTTTCTGAACGAGTAGCGTTCGTCCGAACTTGGTGACGGGTGTTGGGGGGAATCCGCCTCCGCCATACTATCCCGGGGACACAAAGTCTTCCCTTTCCCTCTATGATCCTCCTCATAATCACAGCCACAACACAAGCACGAGCAGAAACGGATATCCGGGATACTCGTATCCTGCTGCGGGCAACGGTCATCTTCCCAATGGATCAGGTGAGCGAGTCCGGATGGGATTTGTTGTTCCATGTCCTCTCCACATTTTTCATGTGGCCCGGATTCACGTCTTTGTCTCCTGGAATTCTCGAGACGATAGACTCTAGCCGCGCTAAAAATATCTCCTTCGAGGGTGAGGGAAAATGGCTAATAATTGTTCGGAATCGTTTTCTTGGCGGTTACGATCAAGGTGCCTCATCGAGTTAGATGAAGGACATTCTAAGATGAACCGATCCGATATTTCAGGCTACGGCATGGGGCAAGGGCCAGGAGAGGAAGGAGGAGAGGGATCCGAGGATTCCCTTTGGAAAGGAAAGTTGGGAACAGGGGATCATGGAAATGGAGCTTACACGTTACACGCGTACGATGGAGCCCCAAGTCGAGGGCAAGGGACGTTCCGGGGTTATGACGATTACGTCACGTATCCCCCCTCCGCCCACGAGGAGTACTTGAACCAGAGGAATAGGCAACTCCTCCCTTTTTCGTCCCGGAATCCCCTGCATGATGATGATCTCAATGGAGGAGGAGAGCAGCAGGTCCATTACCATCTTCCTGACCCTCTTCTCGGTGAGTGTCCTCTTTCCCTCCGACCGCCACACACGTGGGTGGACTCATGATATCAGTAATATCCGTGCAGGATGGGAATCCATTCTCAGAGGAGAGAAGGAACATTATTGATGGGGGATAATCGAAGGCTTGGGATTGAAAAATTATCCCGTGTCCCCCCCCTCTCTGATTATTAGTATTACTTAAGTCCTTCCTTTATGAGAGACCCTTTCTTTCTCGCCGATATCTTCATCTCCCTCCATTCATTGTCAATAAATCACCCACCTCCAGGGTTCAAGGCCGAACATGTAGCTTAGACCGTGCATGGGGGCTTTTCTCATCCCACCTTATACTGTACGAGTACTGTACTGTAATTTGATAGATAAAATTTTTCTTTCTTTCTTTGCAATCCAGATGGATCCCGTTACGTGGGGTCGAGTGATATGGGTGCTGGAGGTGATCGGACTCAACAGGTCACGATGTCCTTCGAAGAATCCTTCGATAGTGTCCCTGGTCAAGGTCAAGGTCACATGACCCCGACTTCTCGCCACCGGCGGGTCATCCACGAGGTCATCGTCTGACCCTGACCTGTCCCTGCTCAATTCCCTCCCATCTTCACTCGCCCCTCCTCTTGATCTCGGCCCGATTTTTGTTTTAGGTTATTTTGATATGCTTGGACATGGATGATGGAGAATGATTATGAGAGGCAATTTTAAGCATGACTGGTATAATCTAGTCTGAACTCTGAAAGAGAGAGGGGGAGAAGGGATACAAAGCGATGCCTCTGGGATTCGCTTTACTTCGGCTTTTTTTTCAGTCTTGTCAATCAGTTCCATAGAGAGGGCGAGAGAGATGTAATCAAGATATGACCGGAAGGCGAAAGGAACTTCTTCAGGGGTTTCCTCGCCTCCATTTCAGTCAATCAGAATAGGAAAGAGAGTAAGAAAAAAATGGAGGCCTTGATGACTTCATCCGGATTGATCTTGCGGCCTGTTTTCTAGGCCCACTTGAAATCTTACATGGGGGAGAAAAAAAAAGAATGGGCCGGGTGCGGGACAGGTGGATTTGTCTGGAACAAAGGGATTGTTCATCGGTCATATGAACACACTCTCCCCTTCTCCGTTCACCCGAAGAGTGAATGGTCCCTTTTCTGTCTCTTGTGTGTTTTCTCTTTCCTTCAGCCCGCCTCCGTTGAAATGGGCAGTTAGTGGCGTAGGAAATCGGTCGTGACTCTCTCTCTATTGATGATTCTTCGATTCTCTTCTCCCCCTCTCTCTTATAAAAAGGCATTGTTGGTTCAGTGACTTGAAGATGGGGGAGCCAGTCATGATGCATTTCGACCGACTCTTGTTGCATTGTCTGTGATATCGATGGCAACGACCTTTTCCTGCTTTTTTTTTTTTTTCCTCCATCATCCCTCCTCTGTCGATAACGCCTTCGTCTTGGTCTCGGTCTCCATCCCGAACTTCGTATGTTTTTTTTGTCAATAAAAGCATCTTACGACTATGAAGATGGAAGTTTTTGTGATGCGAGGAAAGGGAGGGAAAAATGACCGTTGGTCTATGGAGAGCGGTTGCTTGTCACAGCTGGGCTTTAACCGTGACCGTTGCCAGTCCCCGGGTTTTTAAACCCTCTTCGCCAGCTGCCCTGGAAATGGAAACGGACTTTATTCCACCCACTTCCTTCTTTCCTACCCTCCTTCCTGCTTTAAAACGGCCAGAACCAGGAGCAAAGGCGGGCGACAATTTGTCGTCCTGGCTCGGGGGGGTTTCACGATCAACACGAGAGAAAGACAGATGCCAAACTATGATAGGGTTCTTTTTCATTTATCTCGTCCAGGATCAGCTGCCATAAGTCACGAGACCGAGTACGTAAACACGGGTAGCCGAGTGGCTTAATGGAAATTTCGGCTTCTCTCTCTTCCAAGAAGAAGAAAAACAACACGCCGAAGCTCATCTCTATATTCCTTCCAGTCACGTACAATGCAATGCGGTGAAGGCCAGGGCTTCTCGTCGCCGGTCCAGTGGGGTCCCGTGGGTTCACAATTTGACTCGGGATGTGATTGGTTGGGAAAAACCACGCTTAAGTTGACAGATGCCAGTCAAGATCGAAGCCATAGATGAGGGAGGGAACGGAATCCTGTCATTGTCATTGTATGGAAATCCGAATCTCCCCCTTTTTTCGCTCAACGGTCACATGAAACGTCCGCCCCCCCCCCCCCCCTCCTAACAATAATGCTGGCATTTATAATTCAACGGTCCCGTCGCTCATCGATCCCCTCGACAACAGTGATCATTACCTCACACGCCTGTGGGAGAATTTAAAAATGATCGCACGGTGGGGGACGACATCAGGTGTTAGTGACGTATAAAGGATTGTTGAAACCCATCGTTCGTAGCCGGGCAGGTGGGAGAAGGAGACAGAAGGAAGGAAAAAAAAAACATCGATCTCAATCCATCAAAATGAGAGGAGAGAGGAGTTGATTTTCTATCATCCTCCTCTGACATCTTCCCTTTTTCGCCCCGTCTGGGTAGCTCTTGAACAGATAACAGGAGCAATGAAGGAGGGAAGAAAGTGAGATGAGACTTCTTTTTTTCTCCTCTTTGTGACATGACGTGGGTTCTCATGAAACTCCCAATTACTGGATGGTGATAATGACTATTAATGACGCTCTCTCGATGACAGCCTCTATTTAATCTCCCACGTTTACGGCCTCATTTTGACCTCGTTCACACTGCAGGCCTCTGTGGATCGTCAAAATGGACTCCCATCTCGATGAAAGGTTCGATCCGCTTTCGAATCTTCTGCGAATCACACTTTTGGCTGGCCATATTTTTCGTCCTGAACCTTATCTTCCACACGCGTTACTTTCCTTTTTCTTTTCTCTCGGATCGAGAGCTCTCGGGATCAGACAACACAACTGGAAGTATGAGGGATTTATCTGAAAGGGAAATCGGACGAAAACGTCCTTGGTTTGATTGACGGGAAAATGCCCAATTCCTTAATCCTCTCGGAATAGCACTTATTTTTAGGATTTTGGGAAAAGGTGAAGTCAAAAGTCCGATTGTCTGCCTGTCGACTTGACTGCAATTGAGGCTTCTGATGATAGGAAGGAAAAATCCCCCTCTTGAGAGGGGGGAGAAGAGAGAGGAATGCCCCACTACGAAAAGGCTAAGGAAGAAGAAAAGGAAACGCTTTATGCAGAACAATCCCTTTTTTCCCAGGCCTTCTTCCTCCTAAACTTAATACAGCAATGACTTTCATCCGGAGATGCGCCTCTCCTTTCAACGAGCGAGGAATTTCCAAAATGAAGATGTTAAGGACGGGTGCTCCCATTTTCTGGATCGTCCGATTCTCCACTTGCCTTCCTATCGCCTCCGTGCCTCTGACGGTTCTCTTACTATCTTCATCCGGGAAGGCAGCGGGGGAAGGAATGAAAAAAAAGAGATGAATGTGCGATGGGAATTCCAGGGAACAATGGAATGGTACCCTAGAGACTTTGTTCCACAGACACACAATGGTTAGGCTCATTATATGCAAGAGGAGGGGGGGACACGTATGGGAGATTGCGAAAGAGAAAGACAATAGACGGACTCATAATAATAATTATATCTGGGGCGATTGATTCCCGATCTGATGATACATTGAGCACTTTCACTCCCCCTTTTCTTATCACCCATCTCGATCCAAGTCCTTTCCATCCCCCGCTCTCGCGGAGGAAATCTATTTCTCTAGAGAGACAAATGACGAAGGGAAAGATTTAATGTTGCGACACGAATCCACCTTTTTTTTCCCCCTTCTGGCATCTAATCGATCTTGACTGCCGTGGAATAGACCTGGGCCTACCCTTTTGCCCTCTGGTCTCTCTATCGCTCTTAAGAGAAAAGCAAAAAAGGCCCTCGTCGATGCAACCTTTTCCCGGTTACTAGCCCGAGAAATTGTGAAACAATGGGACTAAGGAATAAAAAATCGAGGTCCCTACCGCTCCCGTTCCTTTTTTTCTCCCTCTCTTTCCTTCTTTCTTTTAGACGGTAATTTGCTTTACCTCCACTGCCTTAACTATACCCCGGTCAAATAACCCTCTTTCTCCTTCCCATTGTCTCGATCTTTTTTCTCTTATTTCTTCTCGGCCGGGTGACGAATTCGAATGAGGTCGTGCACCCGATTCCCGTGGAAATCCACTCCGCACCTGGACTGCGACCCCCGAGAACGTTTGTTTCTGCGGAAAACGATCCAAATAATCCCCGGGGCCGTCGAAAGGGGAAAGAGATAGTCGGTCTCCGTGGTTCTGCGGTCGGAATCTGGAGAACATCTGTTCTCCAGGGAAGATATAGTCATTCGAAACCCGTGTCGGAAGCTTCCAGATGACAACCACAACCTAAGGAGATTTTCTCTCGAGCTCGACATCGTGCAGGAGCACAAAGAGCATTGTTTACTCCGAGTTCCCAGTTGGACATGGGGGATATTGTCTTTCTTCCGAGTGTGAGAGAGGTGAAGCCCAATCCCTCCGACCACCGTTTCACTTCGACTCCTCCTCTTTCCTCTTTCCTCTTCTTTCTTCCTCTCCCCTCCTTCAATCTTGGCAACATCTTTAACTTAAACTCTCGTTTCGCGCATGTGCATTCGTTTATCTGAAAATAACGGCAGATGATACTGCTGCGAAGTCCGAGCCTTCGGGTCGAGTCAGTTGGAAGTTAGGTATAGTCCCATTGTTGCTCTTGGAATAGGGTAGAACCGAGTGGATTGCGTGCTCGCATTCTAATACAGACTTACTTTGCCCGCTTCTGTGGGCAAGGGAGTTGGTCTAATTGGTTCAATGTTGGATCTCAGTCTGGTAAGCGGTGGTTTCGCTGGCTCGGTCCCAGCCACCTTCTTACTTCAGTCCTGGTTTCTGCCATCTGCAGGACATACGTTGTACTATAAAATCTCGCAGAAAGGACGCAGCCTCCCCAGAATTTAAATTTCCACTCGCCCTACCTGAGACGCATCGTGCGTGAAGCTTAGATATGAAGCATAGATATGAAAGCGAATGGAAACAATGGTAAAATATTGGAGCCGGGTTGTTTGGCAGACCGTCCTTCCCCTCCTCCCCTCCCCCCCAGCCCCCACCCCACTTTCCAGGCGGAGAACCACAATGGGAACATCGAGAGTTCGAGTGAGGGCAGGTGGAACCCACGAACTCCTCTTGACATCTACTGAGGAAATCTGTGCATTAAATGGTTAATTTCTTTACCGCCAGATGTCAGACAAGCATGGTAACGACCATTTTCAGCCCACCCAGAGGTAGGGTCAATAGACGTTGTCTAGAAGAAGGCTTTCTCCCCAATAGATGGCACCACATCCGTATTGGGCAGCTACGAGCCACCCTCATGAAGTTGCACGAATAGATTCTTGCCATGCTTCTCTCGAGATGTCTCTTGCAGGACCGTCACGTCACTGTCTCCCAGATGTTAGTTTTATGCTGCTTGAGGCTAATCGAGTAGGATGGAGTAAAAATCCGTATGAAATCGCAGGGCAACAGGTGAAAGGTGAAAAGGCCGCCATCTTCTGGATGCCATGCATAATTAATTATTACCTGTTACCCGATCCGCCAGACCGTAGTGAATTTTTGAAGAGGAAAGGAGACAGACTCTCGGTTCCTTCCTCGCGCTCACTCTTCCCTGGCTCTAGGATCAGTGACGCCTCTGGCGAGAGATTCATCACTTTTTAACTTCACTTCGCCTCATTTCCGAGTGTGCTTCTGGCACTTCCTTTATGCTTGCTTTCCCACCCAAACCCTTTGTATTCTAAATCCTCCGGCCGGGGAGCTTCTCACGAGCTCCATTGTTTTTCCCACCTTTTGATATGACAGGTCGAAGGAGTTCACTCCTCCGGTGAGGAATCGTGAAATGTGAGGAGCAGACTCAACGTGGGTTCAGTGGTCCTTCTCTGCGTAGGTTTCTTATTACGTGACACGAGCGAGCGGCAGAGCTCTTTTTTTTTTTTCCATGGAGGAGCAACCGGTAATTCTATTCTGCCCGTCTGCGGAGACGTCTGTAGCCCGTGTTGCTTTCACGATGAATGTAAAGAAAGCCTTGATGGTCACGAAGCGAGTGTAGTGTTCGGCCGTATGTTCGCAACGATACGGGTTGGTCTGCGTGAAGTAAGGACGTCCATTAAAAAAAAACTGTGTATGGAAAATATAAAATGAGTCTGACTGGGAATGGGAATTGGAGGGAGACGGCGATGGCAGCCTCAGGTGCTTCAGGTGCCTCAAGTACCTCAGGTCACCCTTGTCCCATGCATCGATTTGGGGAGAACACTAAGGCTCAAACGCTGAAATCCTCGTTTAGTCAGCGAACCCCGAAAATCTGTGCGGAAGAAGAGGAGTTCTCTAGCTCTAAGGTTCTCGTATAATAGAGGTTTGG